TATATATATATATATATATATATATATATATATACATACTTTTTGTGTGGTTCTCCTCTGATATTAGAAGATGGACCTTTTAGAGTTTAAGAAAAAGTTTTTGAATTTGGATGACACCAGTTTACTTAATTTAAATTTGTTTTTATTTTATTATATTGAATGAGGTCCCCTCTAATTATTCTGGATTCGAGACTTTTTAACTTTAAAATTAATAAACGTTTTTCATAAGAATTGTGCTTGAGAGCTTGGACAAGCTTTATAGCTTTTTGCTGAACTTTTTCAGGTTATTTTATTTCATTTTTCGAATGTGGGTTCACAAAATTCTAATTCAGGTCTAACATAAGTTGTATAAAGTTTAGTAAAGGAATCAATTGACCAGAATTTAAATGTTCTCTTTAGTGTACCTAGTTTTGAGAAAGCTTTATTGTTTATTGTTGTGATGTAGTCTTTCCATTTAAGATTATTTCTTATGTTGATACCTAGGTTACGTTCCTGTGTTGTTTCATTCAATTTGATGATTGGGTTGTTATATATAGTGGGACAGCTTGGTTTATTTGGTCAACTAAGTTTTTTGATTTGGTACTGTAAACTTTCATAATTTTACATTATTTGTAATTCAATTTCATGCTCCAATTTTTTGTCTATTCAAATATTTTATTGAGATCAATTAGTAGTTTATGATCTACTGTATCAAATGCTTTAGCAAAGTCAAGGTAAACCACTAAAGCATAAAATCCACTGTTTAAAGCATCGGTTATTACATTTATTAATTCAAGTAAATTTGTGATTACTGATTTACCTATTGTGAATCCATGTTATTCTTTAGCTATTAAGTTATGTAGGTTTAAGTAACTTGTTATGTCATCTTTTATTATTTTTTGCATTATTTTACATATAACTGAAGATGATGAGATAGGTCGATAATTTGTTGGATCTTTTTTCTTTCCTTTTTTTGGAATCGCTGTGATATTTATTTGTTTCCATAGTTGTGGTGTATGCGTTGATAAATAATAAACTGACAAATAATAAAGTGGCAGGCTAAGAGCAGAACTACAGTTTTTTAAAATATAAGGGGAAACATAATCTTAATACATATATGTATATATTAATGCATTTTACCATCACATTTAAATTTGGTCAGATTTAGACTTTTAATCTTTAAAATACTAAGTATATGTGTATATATATATATATATATATATATATATATATATATATATATATATATATATATATATATATATATATGACACTATGGTGACACCATTTTTCAAAATAATATGACTAATAATAAACATATAGATACATAAAACATAGACACACATAAAGTAAACGTTTTAAATTTATATATGTTTGTAATAATAAAAAAGAAAAAAAAAAAAAAAAAATTAAGGATAATTATTATAGTAATAGAAAAAATTTATAAAAAAATTTTTTTCAGAATTTTTTTAAATTGATTTTGATTAATATTAAGAAAAGATGACAAAGGAGTTTGGAGTTAGAACTTATTGAACTCATTCACAATACACGCAAGGCTCTTGTTCCATTCACAGATGCACTGATACGCATCAGAATTTTTACCATACTTTTAAGTTTTATATGATGGTACAATAAGTTTTCCATTATTTATATTTCGCGTAGAGTGTATATGAATTAGTCTACTTTCTATAGAAGAATGTAAAGTTTTATTTAGAGAGTTAAAAACAAAAAGAAGATTAGCAAACTTTACTAGCAAATGAAAGGTTAGAATTTTAAGTTTTTTAAAAGAATCTGATGTATCTGATTTGAAAGGTTGAAAGTTTATTATTCTAATGGATTAGCGTTGAGATGACATTAGTTTGTTAATATGATAGTTGCCAGTTTAACCCCAAACTTGAAAACAATAACTAAGATGAGATGAAAATAATGCTAACTTTAATAATAACTGTATAATATATAGATAATAAATAAAACTAAAATTAAAAAAAAATTAAAAAATTAAAAAAAAAACTATATAATAAATAAATAAAATAATAACTAAGATGAGGTGAAAATGAAGTAAATATTTAAGAGTAACTTTATTGACATAATTTCGAATTACTGAAAGCATACCATTTGCACGATTAAGTTTCTTGTGCAACTCATCGATATGGAAGTTCCACGAAAGATTGCAATCAATTAACACACCAAGCTATTTAAAACCCTTGAGGGAGATAGTTGTTTATTATTTATTTTGATTTTAATTTCAACGTTGTTACAGTTTTTTCTAGGAGATATAAAAAAATTAGATCATTCTTTTCGGTGTTAAGACATATTAAATTGGCATTTAACCAATGAACTATACCTTTAAGATCCGAATTTATATTTTTACATAGACAATAGTACGATTTGTTGACATGCAAGAGATTGGTATTATCTGCAAATAAAAAATGATCCGACAAGAAGCGAACAGAGTTATTTAGATCATTAATGTAAATTAAAAACAAAAGAGTGTCAAGAACAGAACCTAGAGGAGCACCACATGTAACACGTTTGTTACTAGAAGTATAACCATTAATACTTACATATTGTTTCCGGTCCAAAAGATAAGATCGAAACCAATCACTTACAACTCCACAAGTTCCATAATGCTTAGAAATCAAAATGCTATGATCAACGGTATCAAAAGACTTTTGTAAATTGATAAAAACACCACAAGCAAAATGACCAGTATCAAGAGTTTTTCTAATTTTTTCAATTATACATATCAGTGTGTGGCAGGTAGAATGGTTTGATCAAAAACCAAATTTAAACTCATTTAAACAGTTAAATGAGTTTAGAAATGAGTACACTCTAGAATGCATTAATTTTTCAAGAAGTTTACTAATGTTAGATAAATAAAGAGAAATAGGTCTATAGTTTGTACATAAAAGTTTAGAGCCGTTTTTGAAAATTGGAATAATACAAGATAATTTTAAAATATCAGTAAAAATTGCATTTATGTATGAGATATAAAATAGTTTGGAGAGAATATTTTAAAATTCATAGTTAAAATCAATAAGAATGTTTGTAGGAATACTGCTTGGACCTAATGGTATTCTCGGCTTCAATTTAGATATAAGAAATGAAATTTCATGAATGTTTGTTGAAGATAAGAGTAGACTATGTAAATTTGGATATTTAAGGTACTTTTGATAGTTGACGTAAGACGAATGAATATTGAATTTAAGTTTATGAACAATATTTGTAACAAAAGTTTTAAATTTTTCAAAGATTAGAGTCGGTTCAGGTAAATATCTATCATTATCTTGTAAACAGTTGGGAGATGAGCTGTTATAATTTTCAACATTTATTAGATTATTAATGCCTTTCCAAATTTTGCGAAGATTTTTTACATTATCTGAAAAGAAATTTTGAAAATGGCTTTTCTTGCTTTTAGTTTAATTAAAGTAATTATCATGAATTTATATCACTTAAAGATAGTTTTAAATGTGTTTATATTTTTTAAATCTTTTGATCTTAACATTTTTTTTTTGAAAAAGATTGCATATTTGAATAGATTTTATGATTCCTTTTGTAATCCATGGTTTAAATTGACGTTTGAAGCTCTTAATACTAGTCTTTTTGAGTGGGGCATAGCGATCCAAAATCAATGCTGTTTCAGTAATAAACTTATGGTAACAAAAGTTAGTGTCACTGTTTTTTATAACATCATCACAATCATGCTTTAATAAGTCAGATCTAAATTTTTCTTTATCAAAGTTTTTAAAATTTCTACCATATATTTTGTGACTCCGTTGTATAAATAATTAGTTGAAATTAGGACAAATACAAAATTGAGTTAGGTGATCAGAGACAGAAGTTGTCAAATTTTCAGAAATAATATCATTAGTTTTTAAATTAGAAAAAATATTGTCAATGATTGTAGCAGAGTATTCAGTAATTCTTGTTGGCAAAGTAATAAAAGGGTGAATATTATAAATAGAAAGTAAGTTTAAAAAATCACAGGTTGCAATATCAGTACTTAATTGTATCAAATCTATATTAAAATCACCCAATAAGAAAACAGATTTATTTTCTGCAGATATTTTTAGAAGTAATGCAGACATTATATTATTGAAAATATTTACAATAATTTTGGATATTTTGCAAAAAATTAATACAACAAAAGTGGATTCTAAAAAATTAGTTGAATAAATCATCAAATCATTTCTTCGTTTGTATATTAACTTTTTTGACAAGTATAACAATGTACTCCCACAGGAGAATTCAGTTAGTGTATGCTCAATATATATACATGTGTGTGTGTATATATATATATATATATATATATATATATATATATATATATATATATATATATATATATATATATATATATATATATATATATATATATATATATATATATATATATATATTATATATATATATATATATATATATATATATATATATATATATATATATATTAATGTATTTTACCATTGCATTTAATTTTGGTTAAGGAGATTTAGATTTTCAATTTTCAAAATACTAAATGTTGTCATTTTGATTATACCAAGTGTCAACAAACAGCATAGCTGCGTTTTGTGTTAAATGTATACAAATAGGTTTCCAAACAAACAGTTAGTTCACTCATTGTGTTGATTGTTTTGTTTGTGTGTTCAATGTGGAACTATGCATCTTGATGCATAACTGAATGATCTAATGTCAATCAGTATTGGTTTTGGTTTTGTGATATTGGTTGTAGTATATGAATCATTTGAACCAATACAATTTAATTAACTGTGTTTATGTAACTCATACGCAAAAGAAGTCTAAAAAGTAACATGTTTAACAAGTTACATATACTTTGTTACACTCCAATCCTGACAACTATGTTTAAATTAAATCTTCTAAAATTTTATTCCTTTTACACTGTAACATTCTTAACTTAGAATCTGTCTGTAGTTTTTATGTCAGTGAAAGTTAAATGTAAAAAAGTTTTATATATTTACGATATGTTATGGTTATTGTTAAAATAAAAAAATTTTTTTTAGGCATTTTTTTAACAATTATCAGTCAAATTGCTGGTGCTACACAAATGGTTTTAGAAGAAACATTTCTTAAAGGAAAAGGTTTCAAACCATTTTATGTATGTTTATTTAAAAAAGTTCATTTAAATATACATTTGCTATCAAATATATATAATTGTTACATTTCTCTTAACTCTTTATTTATGGGGAGGGGGGTGGAGAGAATAGAATAATATGTTTAGTTAGGGGCGAGTAGGAACTCACAATTAGTTAGGTATTTATAGTTTTATCTATTAGGAAAAACTTTTAAAATTTATTAGTTTAGTATTAACTCACTACTTAACTTAGTAGTACATATGCTCAACTTGTTAAACCAGAGGCAGAGTTGTAATCCCAATTTGTTGTAATAGTCTTATATTAAAATTAAAATTTAAAAATATAATTGTGTACCAAGTAATTTTAGAAAAAAAATTATAACTTTAACTTTATATATGGAAATATTTTATTATTTTTATTGTAGGTTGTGGGAATGGAGGGAGTTTATGGTCTTTTTTTAATGAGTGTAAGTATTTTATGTTGTATTTTGAAAGAAATTTTTTAGGATGATTCTGCCTTAACCCCCTAAATATGTTCGATACAATAAAATAATATTGTGTTTAAAATTCTTTTGAACAAATTATGTTTTTAGGCAGTTCCTCTAGACCTTTGAATATGTAATGAGTCCTTAAAATCATCAAAAAAAAGTTTTGTTTATGTCAACAGGGCCTCAAAAGAAGCAATATGATATCAAAATTTTAAAAACAATAACCATTTTATATAAAAATTATTTTTTTACTTAAGGTGAAATTTCAGCTTTTTTATATTGTATTCATGCTCTTTAGTTTTTGTTTCTAGTAACTCCTGACTAAAGTAGTGGTTGCTTACAACCTTCTGGAGTAAATTAATTTAAAAATGTTAATTATTTTCTAGTTTATGAATTAATTATAACTATTTACCTTGTCAGTGTTTCTTCCAAGTGGTCTTGGGATTTATTAAAAATCAACAATAAATTTTTTGTTTTGTTTTTTATTGTGTTAAAGATTTTTGTTATATGTTTCCATCATAACTACATTGATTTCTGCTATATCATTGACAACTTTCAAATGGTTCCCTGTTGATTTGAAAGACATAAATTCTTCTTTTTTTCTTTTCCTAAGCTTGATATCATTAATATGAGTTTTAGATTGATGCAAAATCACTAAGCTCTTTATCATGGAAATCTCATTTCAATTTTGTCTGTTTTTATCAATTTTATCCAAATCATTCTATATTTGATTTTAACAGATACATTCAAATAATAAATCAAAAGCAAACAGTGCTCTGGCTAGTATGACAGTTGACTTTAGGTTCAGACCCTGGATGTCGAAAGATTTATTATAATTTTGTATTAACGCAGATGTCTTATTATTTTTTTCAGTGTTGGCTGTCAAGTGTCAGTAGCAAAAATATATATACAAATTGATGTTTTTGTTGTTCTTCAATAATTCGAAGTAATATTATTTTGTTGTATGTTTTATTGTTGTTATTCAATATAAAATGCTTTTATTCCATATAATGTTGTTATTTAACAAGAAGATGCTTTAAATCAAGCTCTAAAATATACAAATGAACTGTGTGTAAACAAATGTCTTGGTTACATGTTGTTGTTTTTTTGTTAACTTAAATTAGTTTTAAGGCATTTTAAGAATATAGATGGGTTTTACCATTTGTTTAACCAGTTATTCTAAATTAATTTTTTTAGAAAAGCTCAAAAAACTGTTTAGTTTTTGCTATTTTATTGTGGTTGACCTTCTACTTCTATTTTTAACATTTTTAAAAAATATTAAAAAACATAAAAATTAGAAACCTTTGCAGCATATTCTTTGCGTGTAAAGTTACATAACTTTATGTTAAAATTCATGCAATTTTAATTTTGATTGGATAGACTTGAATTCAATTGAATGAAAATTGCGTTTTAACAAAAATAGCTCTTATAGTAAAAAATTTCCTTTGACTAGAAATCTCCCAGTGTTAGACAAATTTTATGATGCAAAGTTGCTTTTACTCAGGGTTTGTTTTTGTTTCTTTTTAATGAAGTCAGCAATAAATTTTCTTTTGGAAATTTTCATTAAATAAGATTGAATGCTCAATAGTTGCAAAAGCAGTTTGTATATACGCATCAAAAGACTTGTATGATTGTATCGTTCTTGCAAATATTGTTTTGCAAAGTTAACTATGGAAAGCTAATTATATAGCTACTATTTAGAAATTATTATGGATTTGTAATATGGATAAAGTATAATGGACTAGGAAAAAGATACATCGATGGAATAGCTGATGTATTATGTTTTTAATAAAATTTTCGCATTTGATAAAACAATTACAAATAACATTGAGTTTAATCATCAGCTTGGCACTTATTGAAATCAGCTCCAGAAATAACGTCAATCACAAAACACCTTGTTGTATTTAAAACATTGTGAAATCAAGTTTCAAGTAATTTAGAAATATTTTGGGTAATATGTTCCACTGTTAAAAAATTTGAAAATATAAAATACAGTTAGAACCAGTGACAGGAACAACTGAGGCAGAGCGGGTTTTAAAAAAAAGATGTAACCTTTGCATTAGGCGTCCAAAAGAAGTCCTATCTTAGTTTGTTTAAAACTACAAGGCAAATTTACTTGCAAATCAGATGTCAAAAAATATATTGAAAAAGAGAAAGTTCTGTTAAATACCGAAAACCATTGAAGAATGGCATGTTTATTTTAGGGATACAGAAGATCAACTCTGCAAATGTCCACACAAAAAAATGCCATATTATGATTATAGAAGAATAAGTTATTAATTTAGGTTAACTTAATAAGTTTCTACTTTAAAAGTCCTCACAATTCACAATCATCTGCAAGACCATTTTTTTAGTTTTAGTTAAGGTGCTCTAAGAACAACTTAAGGTCTTATCACAAGCATCATAGAACAGCAAATTACTAATTTCATGAAAAATTGTTAATTTCCTGGTGTATTTATAACCATACATAATAATTACTTATTTTGTTGATATAATGAAAGAAAAATTTTATACCATGGATTCTACTTTAAAAGTAAGCTTTACTTAAGTTAACAATCAATTGTTTTGTAAAAATAATCACTTTTATTAAAATTGATGTAGAAGGCTAAATATTTATAACGAAAAAAAAGTGTTAAGTAATTCGAAATCAGTATTAATTAAGAAAATGTGGTTAAACTATAAAAAATCTAAAAAAAGCTACTTTTGGACCCCCTTAATTTATCAATTATTATAACTTAATTAGCTATAGAAATGCTTGAGATTTTTGGTATCTGGATTTTTGGATGTTTTATCCAAGAGCGACTGCTTCAATAAGGGTTTCTAAAATCTGCTGTTGACATGCTAGCCATATCTAGTGGTGACATTTCCCTTTCAATTCTCGGTATAAGAAGAAGATGTGCAGTATTTTTCATTAAAGTCTAAACTGTTTATACACAAACATTTGGATTATATTTGAAAAATTTTAAATTTGCTGAGTTACAACTATCTGTTAGAATAAAAACAAGTGCATTTTTTCTATCACTAATTAATGAGGCATTTAGAGCTTTTTTTAGTTTTCAAGTTATTGGTTTTGGCACTTAAACTCACTTATGAGTTGTTGGTTTGGCACTTTGGCAGCACCCTGATAATTTTTGATAAATTCGATGTCAATGATATAAAAATGGCAACCGAGCAAATTTTTCTTTGGAATTTTTTTTTTTCCTTTTTTGATGATCTTTTGCTCTTCTCGATTTTTTTTCTTTTTTGGTCAGTGCCTTGTCAACATTCTTCTATGCTTAATTTGCTGATCATTTAAATAGGATTGACATGAGGAAGATCAATTTTGTTGCATTCAATATTAGAAATAGTTGACTGGAAAATCATACTTCTGTTTGCTTACAAGTAATTTAGGTTACTTTGATTGTTAAAGTAAATAAATTGAATATCCAAAAAAAAAAGTTTGCATATGTTATTAAGTCAATTATATAATATAAAATATTGTCTTCAAAATTGCTGACTGATTTGAATTAAAATCTCATTTAATTCAGCTATAATATAGTGACTGATAATATATAAAAAACGTAATAATGTAGTGACTAATACGGCTGAGTCATATAGTGCATTACATGATTTAGCTAGAATGTATATATGTATATATGTAGAATGTATATATGTATATATGTATATATATACACTGCCGTCCATAATTATTCAAATGGTCATACTTTCTGAAATCATTTGAATGGTCATACTTTTCAAAATCATTCAAATGGTCATACATTTTGAAAAGATGTCATAGTTTTACTGACTATTGGAAGAGAAATTGTGAGTACAGTCTACCTGAATTATATGTAATCTTCTTTTTTAATAGGTTTACAAAAAAGTTAATAAAAGTCCGATTAGATTAATTTATAATTTACTTGCCTTTTAAACACTCTTAGCGACAATAACCGCCATACATATTGTTGGTGGTTATTGTCGCTAGAGTGTTTAACAACTTATCTAAACAACTTATCCAATTTATCGAAGTTAATTTTATGCCACTAAGTAATAAGTTTTATTTTATGTTTACATAAAATGTAACATTTTATGCATCATTTATCATTCATGTTTAAATGATGCATAAAATGTTACATATTATGTAATTTTTTATGCATCATTTAAACATGAATGTTTACTAAATCTTATGCATCATTTATCATTTCATGTTGAATGTTTACTAAATTTCATGTTGAATGTTTACTAAATCTTATGCATCATTTATCATTTATGTTTGACAGTACTTTTAATTCCACCCATAAAAATCCGATAGAAAAGCGAGCATATGATTTGGGAGGCTAAATCATTTTATTTAATATTTGATTGTTCTTAAACTCAGTCAAACTTTTTGTTTGATTTGATTTTGTTTTTATTTGATTGTTCTTAAACTCACTTAAACAAATATTTGAAAAATATGTTTTAGTTTTAAACTTCAAGTCATTCAAGTCAAAAATTAATAGTTTCTCATTAACCCATCTTTCCGAAGGTGTTGCATAATTTTTTAAGTGTACAAAATAACTACTTTTGTCATTATTCCCTCTATTTTCCCTGAGTCACCTGTGGCATTTTAACTAAAATACCTTAACCCTACATCCGCCATGTTTTACAGTCAATAATACACATTATTTTAACATAAATTTAACGATTTTTTTTCCATACAAACAATATTATTTTGAAACTTTAGGATTTAAAACATCGACACGTCAGACCGCATTTACTGTTATTGATGGTCCATTTTTTATGTAATTTCGCCCACTTTAGTGTTTTTATTTTTCTTATGATTTTTTCAAAGCATTTTAACCAAAATACTTTTAAATTATCTAATAGTTCAAAAAGAAACATAAAAAATATAAAATAGCATTTTTAAAAAAAGATAATGATATTTGAATAATTATAATTATGGTATTGTATATAGCACTGTCACTAAAATATGGCACTTTTACTTGATTTAATTTAGCTTA